ATATATACATATATATATATATATTTTTTTTCTAAATATTATTTGAAAAACCCCTTAAGATTCCTAAGTGCCCATTTCTTTCTGGTGAGTTATTGGGAAGAAAAAAATTAATTTGTCTTTGAACGGAAGACTGCTGAACTATTTTCCGCTTTCACATATGAAGCCTTATGGTTTACTTGCTTACTTGTAATTTTAAAACATTGCACCCAGAAGCATGCCCAACAAATCGGCACCCTCTATTTCTCCTTCCCTCTATTTTCTCCAAGTTAGATACTGACATTTGAGAAACCTTTTGCAATAGCCCAAGGCTTACTATTTTCATATTATAATGAAACAGTGGGTCTGTAACTGCCTTTGAGTCTCTGCTTAAGGAAAAGAGGAAACTGGTTGTTGATTTGGGCTTGTAACAGTTACTGCTCTACTGAGATGTGTAAGGCTGAAGTGAGTAACAAAGTTAATAACTTATAAATATGTATACATTGAAACATTCTGCCCAGGACTTAAGTTTTATAAAGTTTGGTTCCTAGTGACTAATAATCTATAATGAGAAATAGGACAAATTATTTATGTGTCTGGCTCTTCGTAATAACGGGTCAAAACATTGTTGCTGAGGTAGAGAGTTGTATCTAGTCAATGTTTAAGTCTAGCAGATTACCCTTCCTGGTTTATTAATGAATAAAATCTATTACTAATGTATTATACTACAGTAACATTGTATCATGAGAGAAATTAGTAAGCCAATCGAAAATTTCCCATTTCTGCTCATCAAAAAATGACATGGATCCACAGCTGCTACTATTGCATAAAAATCTGTCCTGCTTCAAAAAAATGGATGATTTTATAATTTTACCTGAAATTGGCTTTTATCCTTTTCCTTTAAAAAGCTCCCAAATCTCCATTTACTAAGAATAGTTCTTTATCGTTTACAAAGTGATCTCAAGTGCATCATTGTCTTTGATTTTCATTGCTCTGAGCCCTGTTGGGGGAGAGAAACTGGTGGATCTTAATGTAACTGTTTTATAGATGAGGGCATTATCCTTCAAAGAGATTGATTGTTTTGTCCGAGGTCAACAGCTAACTTGTGCAAACAGATCGCAGTCCCCAAGTTCAGTATGTTTGTTTTGCCCTCTACTAGTGAAAAAGCAAAACTTCCCTTTGAACTCATTGGACCTAATTCTCTCTTGACTTTGCTCTCAAAGCAGTCAGCTCTGTTTTTTTTTTTTTTTTTTATCTTTGGCTCCTTATCCTTTGAAGATGGTGAACTGGCTGTTGTAGGTACTTTTGAATTCTTCCCCTGATCTAGGAAAGGCTCTGGTTTCATTGAATAGTCTTGGGGTTAGCACTGAATTGCCTCAAAAACCCTGTCCTGTGAGAAGATCCAGGCATGTTTCTTAGTCCTTTCATGCTTGTTTACCTCTAGGTTTTTTAATTTTGTTTTGTTTTGTTCTGTTTTGTTTTAGAGAGTCATGAACAATTATTGCATCATATACAGGCTACTTTTGCCACTTATCTGTTGACATTTTCCTCACCAGAACATAAAGTTCTTGAGAAGAACATATATAACACCTTTTTTCTGATGAAATCAGCTGTATGTCAAAAACTCTTAAATTGTCACTGCTATTTTCCTCAACCCGGAGGAGTTATGAACCACAATACAGAAAGCCTTATGCTGTGTTCGTCGGGAAGGAGAGAGCTTGTCACGTGGTAGCACCTTGTATAGACGTTATTGGCGATGCTATCTCCGGTAAAGCAGGCAAAGCAAAAAGAATTGTGATTATTTGGGCAGCATATTTCTTTATATGTGAGTTTACATAAATTCTCATCTAAATCTTTAGGCACAAACATGAAATGAAAGCATATAAATAGGTTATGGTCGTTTTTAAGCATCTGCCTTTGGTTTAGCTGCACCTCTACCCCTTTCCATTCGTGGGAATAATCAGACATGAACTGTGACCTCACTTGTAATATAATTTGACTCATTAATATTGCTAGATATGTCCTACTTAAGTTTATATGACCATGTTGTATTCTTTTCAAAATAAACTTTATTTGGGGAATGATTGGTTTTGTGAAACATTCTTCAAGTGCCAGTTTCCTTAGCAGCTTTACCTGTTATTCTAGGTTTTATGTTGAAACTGGATAGGGAAGATGGATAGGTCATGGTAGGAGAGGGGTGTAGTGACGCATGGAACGTGATTATCTGCTCTGTTTATTTTATTTATCTGTTTTTTGACATTAATTTTTTTTTTTTAATTTTTAGAGAGAGTGTGTGAGTGTGGGAGAGGGGCAGAGGGAGAGGGAGAGAATCCCAGGCAGGTTCCATGTTCAGTGGGGAGCCTGACATGGGGCTCTGTCCGTTGCACGATCCTGGGATCATGACCTGAGTCCATATCAAGAGTCAGACGCTCGACTGACTGAGCCACCCAGGTGCCCTTGTCTGCTCTGTTTAGAGATATGTGTAAGAAAAACTGTGCTTTGGTTTCAATTGTTTTGAA